CATATGTTGTCTGGAGAAGGCGGGGCTGCCTCTTCAACAAGGTTCAAGTCAAAACGACGGTCGGAGGGGCCATACATTTTCAAAGGTGTTGAAGAGAGAAGAGGTCGGACAAATCAAGATCTTAAAAGTGCAAGAATGGAGTTTCTACTGGTGGATATTCAAGTGTGCTTTGGAACTTAATGTCAGCCCCTATAAAAATCTGCACTCGACGAAGCTTCAGAAATCGAAGAGGCGCCTGCTCAGAAATCGAAGAGGCGTTTGCTTTCTCAAAAGCTGGGCTGCTCAGAGACCACGAGGGTCGATCTCAGAAATCGAAGAGGCACCTACTTTTCCAGCCTTGTCAGCACCTGTCACACGCACACTCAGCTTTGCGGAAATTATGGGCATTCTGTCGAAGATTTCTGACGAAGTAGAAAGCACATGAATCGTACTGTTCAATCACCCACTTCCCACACGCAACAGTAGCTCATGGGTACCACAGATAACTTTGCCAAAGTTCTCTGACAAAGTTGAGACACGTGAAGCTTGCAGCTCCCACTACATCGCTCTGACCAAGAAGGGTAAAAGAATTGCAAAGAAACAACACTAACAAAGTTTAAACACATAAATTTTGAAGGTCTAGCTACCATATTATTACCCACAAGGGTAAAGGAACAGTACCACTGCTGGATAATTGGAAAGTCCCGGTGTGTCAACCTCTGTGCTTCGTGGAGGTAGACTAGCAAACATGCCCAACCTGTACTCACATTCGAGAAAACACTCCCAACAAGATTGCTTGCTCCAAAATCGAAGAGGCATCGCCCTCCGAATCTCGAGAGCCAGACTCCCAACATGATTACTTTCTCAAAAATCGAAGAGAGGGTAAAGGAACAGTACCACTGCTGGATAATTGGAAAGTCCCTGTGTGTCAACCTTTGTGCTTCGTGGCAAGGTAGACTAGCAAACATGCCCAACCTTTACTCACATTCGAGAAAACACTCCCAACAAGATTGCTTGCTCCAAAATCGAAGAGGCACCGCCCTCCGAATCTCGAGAGCCAGACTCCCAACATGACTACTTTCTCAAAAATCGAAGATAGGGTAAAGGAACAGTACCACTGCTGGATAATTGGAAAGTCCATGTGTGTCAACCTCTGTGCTTCGTGGCAAGGTAGACTAACAAACACGTCCAACCTTTACTCACATTCGAGAAAACACTCCCAACAAGATTGCTTGCTCCAAAATCGAAGAGGCACCGCCCTCCGAATCTCGAGAGCCAGACTCCCAACATGATTACTTTCTCAAAAATCGAAGAGACACCGCCCTCCGAATCTCGAGAGCCAGACCCCCAGTAGGATTGCTTTCTCAAAAATCGAAGAGGCATCGTTCTCCGAATCTCGAGAGCCAGATCCCCGACAGGATTGCTTGTTCGAAAATCGATGAGGCACCACTTTCCCAACTTCAAGAGCTAGATCTCCTTGGATAAAGCTTGTCTGTAATCTTCACACGCATCATCAGCTTTCCAGATACCACAGACCACTTTTTCAAAGTGCTCTGACAGAGTTAAAACATGTGAAGCTGGCAGCTCCCACTACCGTGCTATAACCAAGCAGGGTAAAGGAATAGCATTATTACTTGATGTTAGGGAGACTCCTATATATGTCGACCTCCATCCCTAACGGATAGGCAGACCTGCAAAAATGCTCAACCCTTTCTCTTATCTGAGAGGGCACTCCCAATGAAGCCTTTCGAAATATTCAGCTTTCTTTCCCCCCGATAATACCTCTGTAAACAAGCTATACTAGAGCAAGAATATCTCATATCATCAGGGTTAAAAGCAAGAGTATCCCATATCATGCTTTTTCCCTGTCTTTTCCTTTGACCTTGTTCTTACCTGCAAGACAAGGAGAAAGAGAGCAATCAGTCAGCACTTGGAATCAAGCTTCCAGCCAGGAACTGACTGCCTGGAACCCCTTACCTGATTACTTACCTGGCATTGCTCTCGAGTACTCATCTTCAACATCTTATGCTTCCAGGGAAGATACCGCATCTGCCTGAGGAACAAATAGGGCAAGTGAGAAGGATACAAGGAAGCATGTGGAGACAAGCGTAACAGCACACGTGCTGATACATCCACTACTCTGCCAAAAGCAAAAGTATCCCATATCAGCAGGGTCGAACGTACTCTAGATTTGATGGACTTGTTTTGACCCTCAAATTCTTCAGTCGGCCTTATACTCTGGAGGAAACCAGAAAACCCTCCAGCCCAGTTCAAGAATAAGCCTGTGGAAAGTTACTTCTTCAAAAGTAAAAGTATCCCATATCATCTCTCCTCATTTTTCTTCTCTTTATCCTTCATGCTGCCTGCAAGATAGGGAGAATGTGAACAATCAGCCGGAGCTCTGATTGCTTACCTTGTCTGCCATCTCTTTCAGCAGATCCCCTAGCTCGGCGACTTGGGGACCTCCTACTACATGGTTTGTATCGCGCTTGACCAAGCATGAAACTACAAGTAAGCTTCAAGTGAAATTGATACATTACCTTGTGCATCTCCACCAGTTACAGATACCACCCCTGGATGGAGGAAGAGTACTTCCAGAGAAGATGCCACATCTACCTATGAGACAGATAAGGCAAGTCAAGACGATACCACACTCCGGTACTTAGAAGTTTCGTGGCTACGAGATCATTCTCCCACAATATTTCCTAATGTCATTTGTACTAAATCATTCACTTGTACTCACTAAAGGAGAGCTTGAACCTATGTACTTGTGTAAACCCTTCACAATTAATGAGAACTCCTCTATTCTGTGGACGTAGCCAATCTGGGTGAACCACGTACATCTTGTGTTTGCTTTTGTGTAAACCCTTCACAATTAATGAGAACTCCTCTATTCCGTGGACGTAGCCAATCTGGGTGAACCACGTATATCTTGTGTTTGCTTTCCTATCTCTATCCATTTATATACTTATCTACACTAATGACCGGAGCAATCTAGCGAAGATCACAAAAAGTGACCGTTTTCACTACCTAGGATCTATCTTGCAAGAGAACGGAGAATTAGATGGAGATCTCAACCATAGAATACAAGCTGGATGGATGAAGTGTAAGAGTGCATCCGGCGTGTTGTGTGACCGTCGTAGGCCACTGAAGTTCAAGGGAAAATTTTATAGGACGGCAATAAGGCCAGCGATATTGTATGGCACAGAATGTTGGGCAGTGAAGCATCAACGTACACAAAATGGGTGTAGCGGAGATGAGGATGCTTCGTGGGATGTATGGGCACACGAGAAAGGATAAGATTGGGAATGAGGTTATCCGAGGTAAAGTAGGAGTAGCCAAAATTGAAGGAAATATGAGAGAAAATCGGTTCCGGTGGTTTGGACATGTACAAAGAAGGCCTACTGACGCTCCGGTTCGAAAATGTGACTACGGGACAGAGGTTCAGGGCCGAAGGGGTAGAGGAAGACCTAGGAAAACTTTGGAAGAGACCCTAAGAAAAGACTTGAGTACTTGGATCTAACGGAGGACATAACACAAAACCGAGCGCAATGGCGTTCTAGGATTCATATAGCCGACCCCACTTAGTGGGAAAAGGCTTTGTTGTTGTTGTTGTTGTTGTTGTTTGTAAGTTCTGTTGCATATATACATGCCCCTTACGTTGCATGAAAGTAGATGTATCTTGCAAAGTCATCATTGTCAATCCTTGCTTTGATCTTTCTTTCAGATATAACACTTTTTCACCTGATATAGTGAAGAAGTTGCCTAGATCAGACCTCGTTGAGGAGGTAAACACTATTTTGATTCTCTTGGCCGACGGCTACCTCTTAATCGAGCCATTTGTCTTGGTTTCGGCATTGTTTTACTGTCTAATTGATATTGGATACATGTAATATCAGCTTATACTAGTTCTTTAAATACTTCTGTTTTTCTATCTCAGATTTGGAAACTGCAAGCTGCACTCAGTGAGCAAACAGAAATCACGAAATTTAGCCAGCAGGAGTACGAAAGACTTCAGAATGTAATGCTTCAACTGTGACGTTTAATATTATAAATATATACAAAAATTTCAATGTTGATTTCATAAATGTCACGAGCCTTACCTGCTTTCGATGAATCCTGCAGGAAAAGATCCTATGTAGAGTATGCTTTGAAGAACAGATTAATATAGTCCTGCTTCCATGCCGGCATCATGTTCTTTGCAGGTACCTTCTTCATGTACCCTTTCACAGCTACTTGTCTCCACCCTTACAGCATATTATTTTCCATCGTTTACAAGTTATGGCGATTGTACTCATCAATTCGGTGTTTTTAACGCATTTTCAGCACTTGCTGTGAGAAGTGTAAAAAGTGCCCCATATGTCGTGTCTGCATTGAACAGCGAGTGCCGATATATCATGTGTAAAGTATGCCCGATGACCAGCAGTTGTTGCTTGTGATTTTCGGATATTAGGTCGAGACAAGCAATTGGAAGCTGGAAATTTTTCTTTCAACCATGCCCTTTTGGTTGTAGTATAATACCGAAAATTGTAAATATTATGGTCATGTAGTCACGAATTTCAAAAGTGTTGATTGAGTTTTCTTGTCCATGTTTTACACAATCTGTCTAAGTCACGATTGTAAGTCACGATTGAGAAGGCGACCGTTTGAAAAGTAAAAATCTCTGTTCATCTTGAATTTTTGCTTTTTGTTTTGGTTCGCAATATTTTAACCTAATTTAAACTGTGGAAAGAGGAATCCTTTAATGTAAGCTTGAGGGCATACACTGTTCTGGTCAACTTGATGACGTAAAATCTTATTAAAATATTGCAAACTTATGGGAGAAGAAATCCCTCATCATATTGAATAATCAATCACCTCACATAATTTACCAGACTTATTACATTGAAATATCCAACAACCACAAGAAACTGGAATCCTTTTTAACAATGTAAAATGAAAATCCAGTTTCCTTGTCCAGCAGCCAAACAACCAAATTAGCATCTTCTTTTGAAGAAGCCCTAGGAACCCCCAAACTGTTGAACTTTCTTTTGTGGTGGGAGTAAATCAAGAACATGAATTTGATCAACAGTCCTGATTCTGATAGATTGATCAAGCACAAGTGGGAGTGACAGCCCTGGATTCGACGACGGCGTTTTTGGTGGAGACGTTCTCCTCATGCACTGGCTCTAGGTTGTCCTTCAACTTGAGAAGAAAGTCATTGAAGCACTCATCCAAGGTCCTGAAAGAATCTCCGGGGTAGAGAGTTCCCACTTCCACATCACGAGGCCCCTCCACTGCAAAATTCACCTGACATCCTTTGATAAAGATGTCATGCGTGAACGATGCCACTATACTTTCTGGTATACGATTCTCTGCAATTAGAAAACCCTAACTTGTTACAAAATACATGCAAACTTGCCAACCTAATAGGGTTTATATGTATTAGCGTTGTATTCTAAACTAATCTAATCTTCATATGTAAGTTAGGTCAGTTGGCCAGAATAATGTTGTTTCGGCTCCCTGTGTCCAAGTTTCGAGAAAGATATATGATTCATGATGCTAACTGACATAACTTACGTCTGCATGTATATATTAATTCGTGGCACCAAAAGATTGGTCCCAACACATGCCTAACCAAATGTTGGTGAAGAGTAAAGAGGATAGTGACCTGCAGCAAGGGCTAGTAAGTGATTTTCAGTGATGGTGATTCTAGGGAGAGTCCGGCCAATTTTCTTCTCCCACAGAGATGCAAGCCCATTGATGTCGTATAAATTGCTCGGCGGTCGGAAATGAATATTTTTGTTGATTGTTCGGATGTCGTCCACGGTCTTTATTGTGAATTTTCCAATATCCGTACCGTCTACAAAATAGGCTGTGTACGAAAATAAAACACCAAACATATTTATTAGTGGATAAACATATGTAGGGGTGTACTATCTACACATCTCTTTTTACTTCTCATACATCCCTTGTTAATTTCTGTCTGTTAAACTTTTTCAATTTATCCGATCCGACGATCGAAAATAAAAAAAATGTGGAAGAAGTAAAAAGAAATGCATGGATATTACATCTCAATATGTATTGTGTGACCGAACATAGTGGGCCCGAACTTTGGGTGGGTTAGGCACGAGCACGGGCACGGCACAACAGCAACAGTTGAGAAAGGACAATGGGAAAAGATTATTGCAATATTTGTCGTCTATATATAAAGAGAGAAGGAGAAAAAATGATATTTTTTATAATTTTAGAATTGTCTCTCTCTCATTATGATTTTAAAAGAAAACAAAATTTACAAAATAAAAATAATCACTGTGTAGTGGGACTGGTTAGTAAGTTTATTATTTTCTAAAATATAATATTTTTTATTATGGAAAAATAAATTTATTCAAAGGATAGAAACATTGAGAACAACCGTTTTTAATATAATAAAAGAGAAGCATTCTGGTACTCGTGGATAAAAACCTATCCTAATATAAGTATCATGAATGGAGTGTCCAACGCTAGTAATAACATCGACCAGAAAATTTGCCTCCCAAAAGACAGGCTTCCAAAAAATAGAAGAAACGATCTTGCAAGTAACTTGATGTCCTCAATTATAATCTTCAATTATGAAACTATATATATTATTTTGGTATATAGTTTGATATTTTGTTCAAAAAAAAAAAGTTTCATAAAAAGCAATAATAACTAAAACAAAAGAAATTAAAAATCAAAACAAGAAATAATATATATTAGACTAATAAATAAAACAAAAAAAGTCATGGCAAGAGGCTAGTCACTAATAAATTCACAAATTAAATAGAAAAGACAAAAAAACATGTGTACCCCTTATTAATTGGAAAATAAAAAATATATACGAATATGTTATTAGTACCTACATCATTGATTTATTTGATACATTTGAATGATTAAAGGGAATTGTTATTAGTACTCTAAAAATCTCATTCTACACTCCTCACAAATGTATTTTCTTTCTAATTATAGAAAGTTTAGAGTGCCAAATGATATTTTTGTAGTGCTAATAACAATTCTCATGATTAAATGATTACCAATTCAAATGATTTTTTGTAGAGATGAGCTTCAAATGAAAATTAAGAGAATGAACAGTTATGAATATAAAATATCTACGTTGAAGATACATTATTTGCAAATGAAAAAATGAACTCATCGACTTAAGAGAATGCAAGTATTATCATATGCTACAAATTCACACAAAATGTCTTAGGTGTGTACCATATACCTTTGACGGTGCCATCACCATAGATTTGGAACCGATCCAACGGTGGGAGAACCTCAGAAGGGTGTGTGTTGTCAAAGTAGGGCCAAGAGGCAATGGAGTTGCAGCAAATGTATGTGTAGGCCACCCCAGATTTCTCGACCCAACGTCTAACCTTGCGTTTCTCCTCGTACATGGTGAGCCCTGGTTCAACCGGATCAGCCCTGTCCACATCATGTCCAAACTCGGAGGGCAAAAACCTCTACAACATAAATTTTGCAGAAATTTTTTTTTTCAAAATCATCATAAACCTCAGCAACATAACTGCCCGTTTAATATTCCGCTAAAAAACCTTTAATTGTTCCTAAAAGCATTTTTCACAGAACATCTTTTAAGAATAGTATTTTTTTTAAATATTAAAAAAATGAAAAAACTAACGAAAAGTTCTCAAAAACTTTAGTTTTAATGAAAATGACAAAATAAATGTGTAAGTGAATAGCACCAATAATAACTTTTCAAGGTAAAAATGTTCATAACGTTAAAAATGAACAGTACCAGAAGTGTTTCGTTAAGATTTCCTTACAAAAAATTAAAAACTTATTTGGTTAATTTTTTTAAAAATATATTTTTTTGTTTTAAATTCAAACTACTCCGAGCAAACATTGGAGGACAGAGAGGATGGGGAAAGAGAGAATATCGAGAAATAGGAAATAGTGGGTGACGAGAAAGAAAGACGGAGAGGGAGAGGAGGTGAGGAGAGAGAAGAAAAAGAGGGAGAGAGCAGAAAAAGAAGGCGAGGAGAGAGATAAGACAGAGGGTGAGGACATGAGAAGAGAACAAAGAGATCGAGCAAAAAAAAGATCTTTAGAAAAAGAGAGAATTTTAAAAAATTCACTTTTAGTGTTTTTGAGACATAAATTTTCTAAAAACTTATTTTCAGTGTTTTTGAAATATACTTTATATTTTTAAGTTAGTTTTAAATCTAATTTTTTTTAAAGTCCTACTAAATAAGAATTCAAAACTTAAAACTTAAAAAATATTTGTAAATTTAAAAAATTGAACTCGAATAAGATTCCAAAACAAACTAAACATATAAAGATATTTTGTTACATTTTTTTAATGACAACATTTTGTTTTCAAAAAAGTATATAATATAATACATTTGGTTTTTTGTGTGTCGGATATAATATATTTACCTTAACTGTACCAACTGCTGCAATGGCCTCGACTAAGGCAATCTGGTCCAATATTGTCGCACCACCGACGGCTGATATTACTGTCTCGATTTCATGCTCTCTCAGTATCTTCTCCATTAGGGTTTTATCAGAAATCAGCCCCTGAAAATGGTCGATATTACAACATATTAAAACATGGTAAAGTGAACAAAAAATATGAACATGTAAAGTCATAAAAAATATTTTGCAAACGTTATGTACAGAAAATTATTTTCATACGTGTAAGATTATGGCGCCTTTGTGTTTGAAGGACTTGACGGTGTCAGCCTTAGAAGGATGAAGAGGGCCGGGCCGGACGAGAACATACGTGGGTCGGCCGGCGGCGAGGCTGGCTTCAGCTACAAACCTCCCGATGAAACCGGTGGCACCGACAATGAGGACTCTGCCATTTCTGGCAACAGAAAGAGAAGGTGAAACAGTCATGGCTGCTGCTGCTGCTAGCTCTTCCTTCCTGCTACAGACTGCCTTGACTTTTCTTCTTCTTTGTATGTTTTTTTTTTTTTTTGCCCTCAAGTTTGAAAAGTCCTTTTTTCCCAAGTGATTTTTGACACGATTGTGGCATGCGAAGTGTGTGAAGTAAGGGAGGAATATATGTTGTCTATATATAGGAGGATACTTCGATTTTGTTACTATTTTTGCCATAAGGCAAAGGGAAGGCCCTTTGATGTAATTTCATCTACCCTTCAACAACATCTTTGTAGGTGTATTTTTATCGTATCATATGATCAAATGTTTTGAAGTGTAGCTGACTATTCTGCTTCATGCATTGACTGATAGCTGTAGCTATATACAAACAATTAGCAAGCTCTTCTTTAATTATTTTTTATGATTTGAAAGAAGGTTAATTAATTGTCCAACTTTAACGGAGGTCCATCCTATAGGGTTTAACGAATTTTGTTTACTTTTGGAGTTGAAGAAAATCAATTCACAATCATGGTGTGCATTCTAGAAGGCTAAGAGTTGAGATTATTCCGTAGTCTTAAAAAGGCGATTCCAAGCAAACAATGTTGTTTTTACGACTTGAACCCATGACCTTTTGATTACAAATGAGCAACTTTTCCATTGGTTTCTTGAAGAGTTGTACAACTCCATTTGAATTACGGGATTTGAAAAAATGATTTGGATATGATAATGAGGCTTAGTCTGTGTTTATACCATACTTAGGGCCTTCGTATTTAGATCTCGTATAAATACTCGGGGGATTCAAATGTAATTATGTAATAAAGGAATGGGCAAATATGTAATAAGTGAGGAGCCCTTATTCTATAAAAGGACTCCTTACCCTCACAATTAGGGGAGGCCAATTCCTAAGCCTTCTCATCCCTCTCAAAGCTCTCACTCTCATTCAGAGCTTTCTCTCCCTCAGAAATATAATCAGTGTGGACGTAGCCCAAACCTTGGGGTGAACCACGATACATCTTGTGTTATTTACATTTCATGCAGATTCAAGGTCGGATTTACGTTGTTCTAAGACCTCCGGTTTTGTGCATCAACATTTGGTGCCGTCTGTGGGAAACGATACGAAAAGTTGTGTCGGTTCTCTTTCATTTTTTTACCTCTGCCGTGATTCTGCAAAACCCACAGAGACACAGACACACACACTCTCTCTCATCACTCGGTTTTGTCCTCTATAACATCAAGGGCCAAAAAAAAAAAACCCAACTGAGAAATAAGGAGATACAAGGAGGAGGAGGAGGAAGGAGAAGAAAATACAAGATCCAAAACCCAAATCCGAAAAAGTCCACTACTCCAGTAATTCACGACAACAATTTGCGGTGTTTCGCTTTTGGCTACGTGTGATATCTTCCATGTTAGTGTCGCATTGTGAGAGTGGGAACACAGGGTTGCATGCGGGTGGTTACGCGTCTGCAAGGTCGTACTCGCTTCTGGGCTCGGCGACGGAGCCATGTCGGTTAAGAAGGCGTGCGCATCGTTCTTAAAGAGCTTGATCGATGAGGTGCAGAGATGGGGTTGTATGAAGCAGACAGGGTTGAGCCTCCGAGCTCGAGAGCCTCCCTTACGGCTTGTCTGAGAAACCTGCCGTTTTAAAGAGTAACTGCGAGCGAATTGCTTGCGGTTGATTGTTCTTGTTGCAGCCTGCTACGTGTTCGAGATTTGAAGAAGGGAGGAACATCAAATTTGAGACCACCGACAAATTTGAGGTCCAATCGTCGAGACCACTGACAAATCTAAATATATGTGTGTCTTAGGCAGAGACTTGGACACGCTCTCCCTCTGCATGCATCTCTTTGCCCAACCTACCAGCCTCGAACACTCCTTCACTATGCACAGGTTTCTACGGGTCTCCAGTGCATAGAACCAGCTATAGAAAGGGATAAGTGCCACATCCACTAGCCAAAACTCTCACCCCTAAAGTAGGTCTTGTCCCCTAGCTCGTTTTCCAGTAGCTGAAAGCACTCTATCAGTTCCTTCTTTGCTACCTCTTGGACTTCACCTGTGGTTACCTACACCAACTTCCCTGTTGAATAAATCTACGATGACGAAAACCCGTCAGCCCAGAACCTTGCATGGGCTCTAGGGTAAGGATCAGAAGCAGCAGCATCAGCAGCTCCCTTATGTTTGTGGTTAGAGCTGCAGAAGGCGTCGTGGGTTATTCGTTGGCCAGTTACTACACATCCCTAGATCAGTAACTGGCTTAGATCTAACATATACAAGCATCGTAAATCGCAGCCATTCTTTTTCTCTTCGTGATCGGGCTTCGTGTCGTCCACCTCCTAGAGTTTTTCTTTGGGGTCGTCGACGTTCATCGAACACTCCTTGTCACTCCCCGATCCCGACATACGTCCAGAATCGACACGTAACGCTACCAAATACCCTAATATCTAACATACCATGCCTCCTGAATATATACAAAGTATCAATCAAAAACCAGATACACAATATTTTTCGTAAGCTTTATGGCTGCATCTAACCACTTCATCAGACTACCTACATACCCTCATTAGGGATCAAGCTATTCGTAGTTCAACACTCACAAAAACAAATATTTATCACACTCAGTTCAAACATAAAAGTATAGCATTCCTCCATCATTTATTATAACCCGACATCATGAAATTCCAGGACTCATGCTACATAACAATTTACCACATGATTATCAATTTCAAGGCTTTAGTGTTTATTATATTTATACTAGCGATTCTGTTTTGTTTTTTTTATGCCAAGACGTAGTAGACGAGGAGAAGAGGCCGACGAAATTTCTAGCAGCATCAAATAGGTGCATATATAGGTGACAGGGAAAATCCTCCCAAGGACAATGGGTCTTTGGTAGTTCTACCGGCCAATCAAATGCAGAAAGTTCCAAAAGAAGCATTGGTGACGCCCAAAGAGGATAATGAACCAGAAACCAGATTCAACCACAGCCGTCGGATGATGACCCTGATCAATTAGCCAGGATTGGCGGTCTCTCTGAGGATCTCAAACAAAAGATTATTAAGCAGGTGGAATATTATTCAGCGATGAAAACTTGCCCACCGTCTCCACTGAATTCCGATCCCGACCAACAAGCTAAAAAGCAGAGAGAGAGATTAAGAAAAGCAAAAGATACCTTGCAAAGCAACATGGGTAGACAGAGACAGAGGGAAAGAGGAAAAAAAAAAGCAAAAGGATGTCTGGAAATGAAGTGGGAAAACAAAAGCAAAGCAGAAAACAAAAGATCCCAACAGCAACTTCAGTGCATGGCATACGAAGATCAAGCTATTCAGCTCTCTTGCATCTGCTTCAAACATTTCCCCTCTGTAACAATGCAAACACTACAACTCATAGAAAGCTTCACACACTCTTGATCAAGACAGTGTGAAGCAAAACCAATTTATGGTGCCAACAAGAGCTTCATCAATGGAAGGCAACCACAATTCTCAAAAGCTTCACACACTCTTGATCAAGACAGTGTGAAGCAAAACCAATTTATGGTGCCAACAAGAGCTTCATCAAAGGAGTTCAGCCACAATTCTCAAAAGCTTCACACACTCTTGATCATGACAGTGTGAAGTAAAACCAATTTATGGAGCCAACAATAGCTTCATCAATGGAGGGCAACCACAATTCTCAAAAGCTTCACACACTCTTGATCAAGACAGTGTGAAGCAAAACCAATTTATGGTGCCAACAAGAGCTTTATCAAAGGAGTTCAACCACAATTCTCAAAAGCTTCACATTATCTTGATCAAGATAGTGTGAACCAAAATCAATTCATGGTACCTAACAAAAGCTTCACCAACAAAAGCTTCAATTCCAAAGCCTCACCTACATAGCTTCAACTCCAAAGCTTCACCAACAAAAGCTTCATCAATGGATGACAACAACAAATTCTCAAAAGCTTCACACTATCTTGATCAAGATAGTGTAAAGCAAAATCAATTCATGGTACCCAACAAAAGCTTCAACTTCAAAGCTTCACCTACAAAGCTTCAACTCCAAAGCTTCACTAACAAAAGCTTCATCAATGGAGGACAATTACAAATTCTCAAAAGCTTCACACTATCTTGATCAAGATAGTGTGAAGCAAAATCAATTCATGATACCCAACAAAAGCTTCAACTCCAAAGCTTCACCTACAAAGCTTCAACTCCAAAGCTTCACCTACAAAGTTTCAACTCCAAAGCTTCACCTACACAAGCTTGACCCACAAAAGCTTCAACACAAAAACTTCACCTACGAAAACTTGACTCACAAAAGCTTGACCCACAAAAGCTTGACCCACAAAAGCTTGACTTACAAAAGCTTGACCCACAAAAGCTTGATCTACAAAAGCTTCACCCACAAAAGCTTGACCTACAAAAGCTTCACCCACAAAAGCTTGACCTACAAAAGCTTGACCCACAAAAGCTTCACCTACAAAGCTTCAACACAAAAGCTTCACATTATCTTGATCAAGATAGTGTGAAACAAAATCAATTCATGGTACCCAACAAAGCTTCAACACCAAAGCTTCATCTACAAAGCTTTAAAAAATATATATATTTTTCGGAATTTCAAAAATTCAAAAATTCAGAAATTTGAAAATTTAAAAATTCGGAAATTCAAAAATTCGAAAATTAAAAAAAAAAAATCAAAAAAAAAATCGAAAAAATAAAATAAAAATTGTCTAGGCCTCATCTTCTTTGGGCCTAACAACTTTCATAACAAATATATATGAAGAATGAGTTTTGGGCTACCACTTAGAAAGGAAATGCTTCATTCGTCAACTCCCTCGACCGGAGACTTGAGGGACTCCTACCATATGCTACTGCACCTTGATACTCGGAAGTCTCACGACCACTCAGTGACTTGGATTTTTCAAGTCTCCAAACGAGAAGTTTTCCTTACTCAGGAAATTAAGGGAGCACTACCTTAACCTACATGTTTCACTCAGAAAGCTTCAACAAAAGGAAAAATTCAAAGAACTTAGTGAAGAAGGCCTTGCTGTATTTAACACAATACATTGAAATGAAGCAAAGCTTGTTTATTAATATCTCTGATAAGTTACAAATATGTACATATACATGAATCAAAATAAACAAATAA